TAAACACAGCCCGGTGCCTGGTAAACACAGCCCCGTGCCCTGGTAAACACAGCCCCGTGCCTGGTAAACACAGTCCCGTGCCCTGGTAAACATAGCGTGATGCCTGGTAAACACAGCCCTGTGCCTGGTAAACACAGCCTGGTTCCTGTCCAACACAGACTTACTCTTGATAAACACACTCTGACCTGGAAACACAGGCTAGTTCCCAATGGAAAGAACCATTCCCATTCACTCCAGTCACATACATTCCTGTGGGTTAATCAGCCGTATGTACTAGTAACCCAGAAGATGAAGATTCAAACCCAAGTTAAAACATCTGCTTCATCACCAAGAGAAGACAATTAGCTTGAATTTCCCCTGATTTTTCATTTTGAGCCAATAATTGATGGGGAGAAAACTTAATTCACATGCATGTGACTCTGGTCCCACACAACACTGGGGGGATGGGCAGTAAACGCTGCCTCGAGAATATTGTCAGCATCTTCAGAGCAAAGAGACCTGTTTGAACAATGACAGTCTGTGTCCCCAGTCTCTGTCGTGTGCTGTCAATATCAATCTGGTTGATACCTATTAAATCTGATAGTTTCAGCTCCTATCAAGCTTTCCTAATGCCTTAATGGCTCACTTAGTAAATAATAAATGGTTTCTGCTTCTCTAGATTTGAGTCTAACATACTTTCAGTTCCCTGTTTGTAGCTGACCTCACACATTAAACAAGCTCAAACCAGCATGGGGAATAAAAGGCTGGAGGAAGGAAAGCAGGGGTTTTGGTTTCTCGAGCCCATGATCCAGTTTGGCATTCACTACTATACATAGGAAGTGCAGCACTTCTAAATGCTATGTTGAACCAGGGCCCTGACTGTCTGTGTGAGATGTCAAAGGTTCCCTGGAAGGGGCTGGTGGAGTTCTATCCATCAACCTGGACCAGCACTACTCCCTCAGCCAAAAAAAGACCCAAATTACCTGGCTTTTCATCTCGTCGTTACTTGTGGGATCTTGCTGTGCACCACTGACTGCTTCATTCGCCTCCACATTTCTCAGAGCTTTCAGAGACACGGTAATGGCCATGTATGAAAATAAGAGTTTGTTTCCTGTGAAATGGTGTAGCCCATTGGACTCAATATGGTGTGGATGCTCACAGAACTGCAACACCACGTGGGAGTGTAAGTCCAGGTAAATGGATTACTGGAGTATACTGCCTGTTAGTCCCTGGGGTCTTGGTCTGGTCAGCCTGAGCATCAATCTCAGGGTGGTGACTGACCCAGCTTTCCATTGACAGACATATCCCAGCATGCCTGGTATAAACTGCTGTTATATTTCTGTAGATTTACGTTCAGCAGTGAGGTTAATTATCAGGCTTAGTCCATTAATGCTACTCTTTACTCAAACTGAAAACCAGGAATCCTCCATAAATCACTCCAAAATGATAATATTACATTAGCTGACTAGATTGGAAGGCTGGTGATGATCAATTTGATTAATGATGAGCCCTCTTAGCTTTCTGTCTGGATGGAAACAAAGCCACGCAACAGTAAAATGCAAACAAAAACATAAATTGGTGGAAAAGCTCAGCAGCTCTGGCAATATCTGCAGTGAGAAATCACAGTTAACGTTTTGGGTCCAGTGACCCTCCTCAGAACTGTAAAGTTCAACTTTGTCACTGATTTGATTCACGGGGCAGAAGGCAAGGTATGAGACCCTCCTGCAGGATGGGTGGGAGGGAAAGAGAGAAAGGAGAGAGAGAGAGACAAAAACAGGCAGGAGAGAAAGAAATCAAAATACAAGCGATAAAGAGAAAGATGTAAACGACAAAAGACTGATGCAAAGCAGAAGGGAGAAAGAGGGGTGGGGTAAAAGACAAGAACAGGAAACATAAACAAGAGGGAGAGAAAAATGGGGGAGTGAGGGAGAACAGGGTGAGACAAATGAGAGAGATAGGTCGCCAGTATTCAAAGGCCACCTCCAGTGGGCTGCTCAGTGTATGGTATCTGAGTGTGATGCTCTGACCCATAGGCCATTCAAGGACAGTCTTGAATCTCTTGTGAATAATGACTCCTTCTCACTGCAGATAAATAAATGGAACAATAAGTTTGGCAGACTCCAGTGGGTGGTGGAGGGAAAAAAGGATTTATAAATGGACAGTATCAAGTTAATCCCTTACATAGAGGCAGGGACAGAGTACAGTAACAAGTGACCTCCTAGAAACTGAAAGTTGCCAGACTATTGATGACACTCTCATTAGAAAGAGATTTTTACCAGAGGGTCACTATGCCTTGGGCAAGGTCAAGAAGACAGAACCTTAATACAGGGAACTGTTGTCTCACAAACCAGCCGTCCAAGTAACTGAGCTAACCAATCCCAAACAGGGTGTGTTTGCTGGTGGTCTTGTTTTTATCAAAGAACGAACCTCAATTCAATCAGTCCAATGGACTTGTTCATGAAAATATTTCTGCAATTGGGTTAGATAGGAAACTGGAGAAGAATCCCTGTTTATGTGCCAGAGACCAGGGAAGGATGTTAGGTGGGAATATAGTCCATGTATATAAAACTATATATATGTAACCTAGTGAGAAATTGGAAGTGACTGTGCAGAAGGATGAATTTGAGGAAGATTGCTGTCCCGTGCCTGTATATTTACATTTTTCTACCTGTGATACATTGTGGATGTGGATAGAAAGGTGAATGAGAACAAGCTGCACTCAGTAGCATTATACAAAGTGTGGCAGGTCGCATCCAGGACTTGCAACACCAGCCCCACCTCACCTGCTTCCCTCTCACTGTCATCCCTCTCAATCTAACCTCCAATTTCCTCCATCCCACTCAACCTCACCTCTATCCCTCAACATCACCTTCATCCCACTCAACCGCTCCTCCATCCCACACATCACCTCCATGCTATTGAACCTCCCCTCCATTCCACTCAACATCACCTCCATACCTTCACATTCCCTGATCAACATGCAGTCTGCATGGGCAAAAGTTTCCTCAAGTGAAATATGGGGAAGACAGAAGCCACCATCTTTGATTCTCTGCCACAAATTCAACTTGTTCCAATTGCATCCCCTTCCTCAATAACTATCTGAACCAGACAGTTCACAGTTTGTGCTGTCTTATTTGTCCCGGAGATATTCTTATTACCACATACCATTCTGCTGCATGATCAAGAATGTTTACTTCCACTTTCTTAACATGGCCCTTCTGTGTGTGTGGCTATGCCTTTGTTACATTTAGACCTGATAGTTCCAGCGCTCTGTTAGCTTGCCTCCCACCACCTTGCGATTTTGTTCCTGATCTTCATCCAATGTGCTCATTGACTTCTGTTGCTCACTTCAGCATTACCCTCCAGGATCTCCGCACGTGTCCAATGCCAGCCTGATAAGCATCTCAGGTTTGAATTCCCTTTCAAAACAGGGGTCCCTCAAAACCCACCTCCTTAACACAACGTTTAGTCTTCTCGCCTGCATTTGTTACATTTTCTTTACTTGTTGCCTGTTAAAGACTTTCTGCCATTGTACACAACAATTATGTTGTACAAACACAAGCTGTTGTTGGATCTGAATGCACAGGTGAGTGATATCTGAAACCTGCTGATGAGTTGGATAGATGTTAAAAATCAAAGTACACGGCCAGCTCTGTGCCCTACAGTGAGTCACCATCCATCTCCTAATCTGCAATAAGCTCCCAGCCTGTCCCCGAGTGTGAGAGCTGCAGTAAGGGGTTAAGGGGAAAAAGGTGTGCTTGTTGGAGGAGTAATGGGAGTGAAGCAGATGCAGACCCGGAAGGAGAATGAGATGCTGAGATACAGATGGTCGCCACAAAAGCATCTTTTTTTATTGCGTTAAGTTGATACTGAGTGGCATGACGTCAGAGTCGGTCCCGATGACGCAAACCTGCACAAAAGGATGACGTAGATTGAGAATGAGTGGGCGCGACAAGACGTGATGACGCCATGAGCCCCGCCCTCACACCATCTTCATGTTGAACTTGGCGTCGTCTTCCTCTTCGCCGCCGCCACCACCGCCCCCATGCGGCACGAAGTCCACCTGGACGTTGTTGTGTTTAATGGGGCCTTTGGCTCGGCTCCAGGCGAACAGCAGCGAGAAGCAGACGGTCACCACGCTGAAGAAGGAGGCGAAGCCCATGGTGGTGGCCACCAGCAGGGTCTGGGTGTCGAAGGGGTAACCGGGCCGCACAACTCCTCCCGCCGCCGGCCGGAGGGCGCCGAGCTCATGCCGCGACAGCGGCCTCACCCGCAGCGTGGCCGACGCCGTGTCGTTCCCGCCGGCGTTGCGGGCCACGCAGCGGTAAATGCCGGCGTCCTGCGGACGGACCGAGGCGATCTCCAGGCTGCCGTCGGGCAGCAGGCGGCTACGACCCAGCGCAGGGCCGGACAGCGGGAAGGGCCCTGGGGTAGGGGCGCCCAGCCGCTGGCGACGGGGATTGAGCCAGAGGATGTCGGGGGGTGGGTTGCCGTCGGCTGAGCAACGGAAGGTAACGGGCCGGCCTTCGCGGACCGAGAGGCGCTGGGGCCGCTTGTCGCGGATGCGGGGCCGGCTGCAGAGGAAGGAGCCGGGTGGTGGCGGCCGGTCAAGGCGAAGGCCACGGTGAGCCTCGGGGGTCTGGCAGGTGGGCGCCGGGCCCAGGAAGCGGAGGCGACGGCGGCGGCGGACCACCCAGTTCAGGCGGCAATCACAGGCGAGCGGGTTGTCGCCCAGGCCCAGGCTGTGGAGGCCAGCCGCCGACCGGAAGGCCGTCTCGGGTAGGCTGCGGAGTTGATTGGACGTGACGTCGAGCAGCCGGAAGTAGTGGAGCCCGCGGAAGGCCTCCGGTTGGACGATGGTCAATGCGGCGCCGACCAATCGTAGCTCTTCCAGGCGGGTCACATGGCGCAGCAAAGCTCCGCGGATGACGCGAATGGGATTGTGGGAAAGGTCCAGCCAGCGCAAGGCAGGTTGGGATCGCAGGCCCAGGTAAGGCACCGAGCTCAAGTTACAGCGAGTCAGCGTCAGGCGCAGCAGCAGCTCGGGGCCCTGGAGGCTGTTTTCCTCCAGCTCGGACAGCGACGACCAGCCGTCCAGTTCCAGGAGGCGAAGGGCGGTCAGGTGCCCGAAGGTGCCGGCGGGGAGGCGGTGGACCCGGGCGAGGCCATTCAGGCGGAGGGCGCTGAGGTTGGCGAGCGGCTGCAGGGAGAGGGCGGACGGGGCAGCGGGGAGGGAGCCGCCGGTGATGGTGAGCAGGCGGAGGGCGGGTAGGCCTTCCCAAAGCCGCGGGCCCAGGTAACCGAGCTGCGGGCCTCCCACCTCCAGGCGGCCGAGGCGGCGCAGGCCCCGGAAGGTGAGATCGAGCAGCGCCGGCAGCGGGTTGGAGCCGAGCTCCAGGCTCTCGAGGGCGGGCAGGCGGCCCAGGGCCCCCGGGGACAGGTACCGCAGGCGGTTGTGGTTGAGGCGGAGGCGGCGGAGCTGCCCGAGTCCGGACAAGGCCCCATCCCCGGCCCCCTCCTCCTCGGCCTCGGCCTCCTCCTCTCCCCCGGGCAGCTCCGACACCAGGTTCCCGCTCAAGTCCAACTCCTCCAGCCGCCGCCGCATCGGCCCGGCCCCCCGCGGCCACTCTAGCCTCCGGATCCGGTTCTTGCTCAGGTCGAGCACCCGGGTCCCCCCCGGGATCCCCGCGGGCACCGACTCCAGGCCCCGGCCGGAACAGCCCACCGTCCGGTTATCGGGCCAGCAGCGGCAGGAGGACGGGCACGAGAGGCTGGGCTCCGGTACCAGGAGGAAAGGGACGACCAGGAGGAGAGGCCGCCATCCAGCCCGGGGTCCCGATCCGGACAGCATTCCCGGGCCGCCCTGCAACAGAGAGAGGCCGCGGAGGGGTTAGGGGTGGGGGGG